CTGCTCCTTACGACTTCTGATCCTTACGACTTCTGATCCTTACGACTTCTGATCCTTACGACTTCTGATCCTTACGACTTCTGATCCTTACGACTTCTGATCCTGACTATAGCTGCTCCTAGCTCCTTATAGAATAGAATAGAAGTGTCGGCACTGAAGAAATAGGCCCATGGCATGTTGCCGATTCTTGGACTTTTCGTGACTTGATTCACAAGGGATCCGGCCTTTGGAACCCGATCTTTCCTTAGCTGACGATTGATACGACTACCTTCACGCCACGATGGTCTGTCCCGCAGTTCTGTGCGCCGCTGTCTAATAACTTAGTTTAAACTCAGCTTCCTCACAAGTCTTTTATGTATTTTATTCATATCCTTTGATCCCATATCTTCCTTTGACGATTTTATCTCGGCTTAGCTTTTTTTTTTCATTTCATCCGTTTATCTCCAGCACCTTCAATTTACTTTATTTATCTTCGCTTCTTTTCGCGATATCTCATTTCCCCCTTTATACGAACTGAAAAACTAGGAACTGAACGCCGCTGTTCCTAGTACTGTATGTTCCGTTGCTTCATATTAACTCATTCACTTCATGCCAGATTAATATGTTGCATCCTTGCATCCATTAATATCCTTGTTTCATGTAATATGTTATATTTGGTTATATTATATTTTACAGTACAATATTATATTAATACCGCCTCCCTATTTTATTAATTCAGTTCACTAACCTAGTCACCGCCTCCCTATTTTATTAATTCAGTTCACTATCCTCCTCACTGCCTCCCCATGTTAATACAACTACCGCATTCCTCAACCACTTGCCGGCCACACTCCTCGCCGCTTCCCCATTTCGATTCCACCACCGTCTTCCTCAGCGGGAGAGCGGTCACTATAGAGTGGAAGGTGTGGTGCCATCTTGTTGTGACGCAGTAGTGACCCGCAGATGGCTATAATGTTCAATGGGTTTACTAAAGGCTCTTCTGTTTGCAGGATCCGATGAAGCGACATATATTTGGAAGGTCCAATGAAGTGACCTCCTTACAGGTCACTTCATTGGATAAACTATATTTGAAGAGGTCTATGTTGAGTTTCATGTCTATAGGTTCCACTGAAGGGTCCATCCACAGGTACGAGATGCTGGAGGTGCTGAACGGAGAACTGGAAAAAGATCCTCGGTTCTCAGGACTCACTGACCTCATCTCTACCATCCCCCTCACTCGGGGCAAGGGCAAGGACGCTCTCCAAGTCGGCGAGTTCAAGGTGAACATAAACTGAGGTAGACTCGAAATGAACTTAATCTAAAGATAATGTTAAACTTGAAACAAACTTGAGGTTGAAGTAAAATCATTTTTTGACGATGACAACTGAAATTGACAGGGAGAACTTTGACTCGACAAAGAAAACTCAGAACCATTCACCTGACATTCTTTAACCCAATACCCAGGGTACGTTCCGGATATATCCTCTGGGTACCGGAAGTGGCAGCCCCGAGCCCCCCAAGCTGCTCTCCTCCTTTCCTTCGCCTTCCCCCCGTGACGTCACCGCCAGGGTGTACGTGGTGCTTGCCAAGGACCTCGCCCCTAAAGACGCGGCAGGAACGTCGGATCCCTACGTCGTCGTCAAGCTCGGCAAGCAGACGCGCAGCAGCGTCAAGGACTATCGCCCCAACACCCTCTGCCCCATCTTCGGGGAGTGAGTCATGTCTACAGGACAGTTCAGTCTGGGAAATTCGGTCACCAGGGTTAACAGTATAGGCAATTCGCAGGATTTACTTTTCCGTCATCCGTCATATAGGCTCGTCAGGCTTACTTATTGCAAGTCATTGTCTAATGCTGATCGAAGTTACACAGTTACCTGAATGACAATTCTGGCCAAAGTTGCGCCCGTTTTCGTGATACAGGTCCATTATCCTTGTAATTTGCTTCTTTTAAATTCGAAATTTTATTTTGTAAAGAGTTAGTAGAATTATATTCATTTCTAAGTAAATCGAAAGCCGTTTTTGTTTCTGCATGAAAATGATTGAATACAACTTGGAAGGTAAACTTATTGTTGACATGGACTCTCAGGATAATCGGTTTGCAACGACAATTTTGATTTTCAGAATACTTTGCTATGAACAAATTCTTTAACTTTTCAGCCTATTTTCTTAATGAAAAGGGTAATGTGCAAACCTACTGAAAGCAAAGCCTGTACCAGTGTCTTATAATGCAATTATTGCGTCTAATTATTTATTTATGATCTCCTCACACTGACATAGAGTGTTTGAAGTGAGCGGTTGCCTGCCGGTGAACAAAGACCTGCTCGTGCAAGTGTGGGACAAAGACTTGACGTCGGCAGACGACCTCATCGGCGAGACCAGCATCGACCTGGAGAACCGCTACCTCACCCGCCACCGCGCCACCCTGGGGCTCGCCAGGCAGTACCACGTGTGAGTGTTTGCAATGTTATTAGTTAAATGGTGTCTTGCGTGCCATTAGTTAAATGGTGTCTTGCGTGCCATTAGTTAGATGGTGACATGCGTGTCATTAGTTCATATAATAGCCTTCCTACATCAATATTGTTCTTAAGTGTCTAGCATTGCTTTGTGGAGAATATCCAACACTGACGACCTTGATGTCACTTGGTCTCTTGATCTCACTTGGTCTCATGATGTCACTTGGTTTACGAAGGATTTGTGCAGTAGGTATATCTTGACTTACGATGAGTTTATATGCAGGAGTGGCAGTAATCGCTGGCGCGATCCTCAGCTCCCCTCAGTCATCCTTACGGAGTTCGCAGGACTCGAACACCTGCACTTGCAGGAGCAGCTCGACCCTCCCGCCGTGACCCTCGGCGACACCACCTACACCCTCGACGACTTTGGTGAGCTATCCCCTAACGCAACCACCCACCACAGACAATACAAACATCGTACAGGAATAGCAATATTATTGTGACACAGCTGTCGTACCAAAACTACCACTTGTACTCATGGGCGGTAGGCGGTAGAGCTCATTTATAATTGAGGTACCAACGGCATTGTAGTTTGCATTAGGACATTTTATGTAAAGTGGTCAAGAGGGTGCTGGGTTTACGACATCTAACGTCATCTGGTCACGATGGTTGGTGTGCGATTGTGTTAAACATCTTGTGTCATGTAACGGCATCTTACAAGTTACGTCACCACAGAACCACAGGACGTGGCTCTCCCCTCCACCGTTGGCTGTGCACGTGAGCGTCTGGCGCTGCACGTGCTGCACGCGGCCTTCCATCTCGTGCCCGAGCACGTGGAGACGCGCACCCTTCACCACCCGTCCCGACCTGGCCTCCCTCAGGGACAGATCCTCCTGTGGGTGGACCTCTTCCCCTCCGCCTCCCACATTCCTCCACCAGTGGACATCACCCCGCGGCAGCCTCACAAGTGCGACATTGTCAGGCTACGATCAACGCAAAATTCATGACCATGGCATTAATGTTCGCCAGTTGCATGGCACACCTTTGGCCTGATGTGCGCTTTGTGAATTCTGCATGATAGATGCTGTGCGTTTGAGGCGTTTCATTTGTTCGATGTGCGCCATGTGCGTGAACTATGTCTGTCACGATAAGCCTCATGGTCGTAGAAGTCCCAGGCCACTTTGGGGCGCCTGAGATTCAGAGACTCGGTATTCTGCTGCTTCAGCCAAGGTAGGCAAGTGGTCCTCGCCGCTCAGGAGAACCAGGTCATTAACACCGCGCATCTGCCCTCAGTTGTCTCAGCTGGTGCACGTTGTTCTTGCTTGCTTCTTGCTGCCGGTAGTACTGCAGAGGCAGACGATCAGGGATTGTGCTCAGAAACATATCCAACGCTCCTTGAAGGTTTTTAGGGTAAATGTGCATGATAGACGCCAAGCTAATGATGTCTGCCGTGTGGATGATTTGTGTCGTGAGTGCGATTCGTGCCAGGCGAATGATTATTTGGATAGACCGTATGATGTTTCTTGAGCGAATGTGCTCCCGGCGTACAATATGGGCCTAGCGAGTGATGTGGGCCTTACGTACAATGATTTGCGCAGAGCTTACGAGTAAAATGTGTGAGTGAGGTCAGGCACCACAATGCCTGAGATGCTCTCCTGTGCGCAGATACGAGGTGCGGGTTGTGATCTACAACGTGCACGATGTGCCGCTGCAAGAGACCAACATCGTCGGGGAACAAATGTCCGACGTATACGTGAAGGGCTGGCTGCAGGGCACCGAACATGTGCTCAAGACAGACATCCATTACAGGCTAGTCCTTTTACTGTCCTGGCACCAATTGCAAGCGGTTTTTTCTTTAAAATAAATTTGTACAGCTAGGTAAGTATCAAGTTTGCATTTGAAGTTTCATAAACATACAAAACGAGCGAGGCATCAGCAAGGCATCAACTTATTGAGAAGCTATGAGTAGTAAAACGCTCTAAATCCAACCATATATGGCAGAAATTTTTAACCATCCACCCTGCAACTCGGAATCACTAAAGTCGCTTTCCTGCAGTTACGATGGATGACTGAAAAGCGGTCTTTTCAGGAGGCCAATGAATAACCAGCAGTCATCTGTAGCCACTAAGCCATGAAGCTAAAAGCGGCTGTCTTGCTAAAGAAAAAGTAGATCAGCGTTCGCCCTTAGGGAGTCTTCTCTAGAATGTTACAAGCAGCCGGGTTTATCTAGTCACTAGTGAGAGAGCATTTTGGGTTCTTCCTCCATTTAATAGATGGTTTTTAGCACCTTGGAAGTTTAAGAAGCATTCTAAGGTTGTTCCCTTGTAGAATCGGCACGCCTACTAAATGAACTTTATTTACTTATATTTTACCCTGAAAACAGTTGCTCGTATTTTTTCGTAGATGTCATTTTATTTAACAATGTATTGTTAATGTTTACCGTGCTATCTTGAGTCTGTAAACAATTTTCAAAATTTTGTCGTAATAATAGATGTTTGGACGGAGAGGCTAACTTCAACTGGAGGTTCGTGCTGCCGCTGGAGTACCTGGAGGCGGAGGAGTGCCTGGTGCTAAAGCGCAAGTCCCACTTCCTAGCCCTCGACGAGACCGAGGAGCGCCGCCCCCCACAACTTACACTGCAGCTCTGGGACAGCGACCTCATCTTGCGTGATGACTACCTAAGTGGGTGACTGTCTCAGTGGATGGGAATTTCTCAGTCTCAGTGGGTTGGACTGTCTCAGTGGATGGGAATTTCTCTGATTGTGGGACTGTCCCATTGGATATGAATATCTCAGTTGATGGTAATGCTTCAGTAGGTGGGACTATCTCAGTTGATAGGAATGTCTGAATGGATTTTGAAATCTCAGTGGGTGGGACTCTCAATGATGTCATCAGAGAATGTTTGCCGTCATTGCCCACGTTCAAAAGGTACTGCTATCGCCAACCCGCCATGTTATGACCAGGTGAGATGACCCTGAACTTGTGCCGGCTCCCTAAGCCGTACCGCAACCTGGCCGACGTCCGCCTACGGCCTGACGTTGATATTCCAGCCAGTTCTAGTGACGGCCTCTCAACCACCATCTTGATGGCACCCGCTGACGAGGCGCCCCCTCTCGTCAATCTCTTCCAAGTGAAGCGCGTCTTCGGCTACTTCCCCTTCACTAGAAACGTCGACGGCAAAGCCCAAATCGCCGTGAGTCGCAGCTCATTGCATTTCTTAATTTCTGAGGAGCTACCTAACATATATGATATGTATATACGAGTATATACATATATAAAATTCCTTGCTTGAGAGATGTATTCATCACCAATTTGGGTCATTTTACTAAAGTTAAAAAGGTGAAGAATAACGAAACTGATTTTCGGAGTTAACATTGGTTTGGAGCTCAGTTTTTTTATGTAGTTTAAGATTGAGATTTACGAACCTATTGAAATTGCTATAGTAACTCATCACTAGAAACTGATTCATGTGGTTAAATGCGACGCCTTAGGATACCGTAACTACTGCTTACGGTGTGAGCTGCGGAGGTGCAGTGGTGAGCTGCTGTGGTCTGAATATGTCCGCATATTGACATAAAAGATTAATTTTCTTGTTTTTCCATAACAGCATTTTGGAAGCAATACTATGAAATATTTCTCTGCTTGTGCGTTGATTTTGCATTTCTCACCGATAAGCCTGATAAAAGTTACTTTTGTTTCACTTAAATTCTTCGGCGTTAACGTCCATCTCGCCCTCAGGGTTGTTTGGAGGCCGAAATCGAAGTGTTGTCGGAGGAGGAGGCCAAGCTGCGTCCTGCCGGCTTGGGAAGAGCAGACCCCAACATCAACCCTGAACTCCCCGAACCAAAGTCGGTGTTTTTGCTTAACTCGTTCCCCAAATAAACGATAATTAACTTTGCTTCTGAGATTTTGTTGAATAGACTTTCGTTCTTTGCAACTCATAGGTTACGAAATCTGTAGAGCTAAAATGTACGATTTGCAAATGTGCCAAATATTAGTGTAAATGAAACATTTATGAAGCATTGCAATAATAGTTGTATATACTTATGGATATAAAATGATGACATGCATGAACGTTGTTGCAGTCGCCCGAGCACTTCTTTCTTCTGGCTGTCGTCGCCTTGGAAGTCCTTCAAGTTCGTAGTGTGGAAGAAACACAAGTGGCACTTCATCAGCTTCCTAGTCATCTTCTTCCTCTTCCTCTTCGCCTTCCTTATGATCTACTCCCTGCCGGTCAGTAATCACTAACCATCACCTTGGCCTGACGCCAATAACCACTTTAGACTCCCAATGAACAATTTGCAGTTCTAATAAACATTTTGTACAGTGGATATTACTGGCATATAATTATTATGAAAACGTTGAATAATTTTGCTCATTCAGTTTTATGGCGCCATTTATTGTGCGATTTTATTTAAACGCTAAGTTGCAAGAAAACTTTTCACTGATTTGGTTTGTTACAGGCAGCCACAATCGACTACATGTTCTCGTGAAGCAATGATGTCTACGAATACAAGTTCGTGGGAAGAACCAAGTCATCGCCATATGTTCACACATGAATTACGATCAGTCTTGCAGTCTCATTATGCCGCGGTTCATATTTGATTTGTTTTTTATTGAGATTTACATATATTATTTTTTTTCTAATTTCTATTATTGTTATCGTATGTTTTTTTCCTGCTAATTCATCGCCGCAGTTATCTTTTAAATGTTTACCATCAAAATAAATATTGCATTGTGCGTTATTTTATAACAGTTACGAAACATTTTATTTCATACACTTTATGGTCCTTTGGATGCCAGCGTCCAATTAAGTAGTAAAGCTTTTAATTTAAACCAATGTATCCTTTAATTAGGTACCAACAATCCGTTTTGATCGAGAATAAAAATGTGATCATTGCTAATTTTATTCTCATTATTGTCAGTTTTGCAATATTTATGTCGGCACTACATGGACTCAGAAAATAGGGGTTTATATAGTTTCTTGACCGATCTCTGCTGCCTCTGCGTCGACTGGATGCCCTGGCTTGGATTGTCAACCGGGCTTCTTGGCAGACATTTCTGGTCAGGGCGCGCCTCTCGGTAGAGGGATGGCTCGGTACTATGTGCATCGGAGGAGAGTTTCATTTTACCTGTATTGGTCACTGAATCTTTCCCTGTGACCGCCTGCTTTTCTTCTCAAGAACTTCTATGGCCTACCTACATTCCTTCCTGCTCACTTTTCGCCACATGTAGACGCTTCACCCTAACCATTGTCCACAATTATACTCATGCAGTTAGTACTCTTGTCCAGTGACCGAGCGAGGCTTCATCTTTCTGTACTCCTCAAGCCTCTAAGACGACTTATCTGCCCTCCTGTAACAGACTGGCCAGATTCATGCACAGCTAAACGCCCTCTCTCTCTCTACCCCGGCCAGTTCCCCTTATAGCTCCTTCTTCTCTCTGCATCCTCCAGTTCAACTGCAATCGGTTACAATCCAGCGCAGTATATGGAGCTTCACGTTTTTCTCAATAAATACGCGGCGGTCACTTTGCTGCAAGGGACTTGGATTAATTTCATTTCCTATCCCCTTCCTTTCTTCTATACACGATCAGCCGACGTGATCGTCATGATAGCCATGACCATAACCAGGTTTACCAGACAAGACTTTTTCGGCCAAATAATACGATTTAGTTTTTTTTTTTCAATTTCGCTGACCGATAAAAATTTATGATGATGGTACTTCCTTGTTGTGTTTTAAATAGTATAAACTTGAAATAAACATTTAATTTTCCACCGCAATCTACAAAAATACTAGTAATTAAAATTAGAATGTTTTAATTTTTGAGGGCTTCGTGATGATATGCGGCATTTATCGGTTAATTAAAAAATTCAGAACTGAAGCTACTATATGAACGTATTACCGACACTGCCGTTAAAATTAATATATTTCTCGATTTTGAAAGAACTTCTTGGGGATTTTAAAGGGATCGGTTAATTTAATGATTCAAAAATGACAACCTAAATGCCTGAAAGTTTCACCCTCACTGCCAAGAGTCAAACTTAGCTTATGTCTAGAGTTTGGGTGAGCTTGGTCTTAGTTATGGGTATTTGCCACAGTTCTCGGTTAATTGAGTAATTTATCGACGACTGAGCCCACATACCTTCAATTTTTACCAGAACTCCATGAGTTGAAATTAGCATATTTCTCGAGTTTGCCTTCAATCATTGTAGCATCATGACAATCCTGTCCCTATAGCGAACGTATTGAGATTTCTATTCTATTTTTTTCCATGAACTTTATAGCTATCGTTATTAACTATTTTCTCGTTATGTAATTTCTATGTTCAATTTTCTGTGTTTCTTTTAGGTTTAGATATTTAAGAAGTATCCCTGTTACCAGGTTCAGATTTTCTAGGTAATAGCTTTCCCGCAACACCTTGGCTGCCAAAGCTGATGGCCGCTGTGACTTAGCCGTCAGAGCTGATGGTCGCAATGATTTGAACGCCAGAGCCCAGAGCTGAAAACCACCATGGTTTGGCCTCCAGAACTGATGGTTGCTATGACTTGGTCACAAGGACTGATGGCCGCCAGAGCTAATGGAGGACCAGGCTTGGCCGCCAGGGCTGATGGTCACCAGAGCTGATGGACGACTTGGCTTGGCCACCAGGACTGATGGCCACAAAAGCTGATGGATGACTAGGCTTGGCCGCCAGGGCTAATGGCCACCAGAGCTGATGG